GAAGATTTGGAGCATCGTGCTGCCAAAAGGGCTTAGTTTCTGGAGCTCGCACCGTGTTTGGCAGCGCAAGATTGATATTTGTGAGAGCTGTTTCAAATTGCAAGCTAAAGGGCGTCTTTTTGCGCGCTGTTCGGCTCTTTTGAAATTCTGTCGTGTTAAACACGCGCGAGGGTGGCCGGTTGGATATCCTTCGCTCCGGTGGGGGTCAATCTGACCCCCTGAGATCCCAAGAACTAAGACGGCTAGAGACACAGAATTTACAGGGTGCGTTGACCTGTAGGTTAACTCACTTGGGCCAAAGTGTGAGATCCATAGACTATGATCTTCGGGCCAAATAAGGTCAAACAATTCAAGCTCCAATTTGGTATCCAGTGTCCCCAAAACCTAGATACCGGTTCTAAGCAGAAGGCTGCATGGTCATTCAAGTTCAATGACCTTGTTTGACCTCCCTAAGGTTACAGTGACCACACACATAGACGACTGCTTTGAGTTTGCATTTGAGTCAGCGACAAAGATTACGTTGGGGAGCAAAATGTTGAGCAAAAAGAGCAAAATGTTCCCAAAAACGAAATGCTGGCCTGAATCATTTTAGGTCGGTGGCCTATTCTGACCTTTAAGACGTCTGTAGAAGATGTCTTATGCGGCTCCTGTGATCAATAAATTCAAAATAAGCACCACAAACTATCCTATACAGCAAACCCCGGTGTAATAAAACAGATTGGTTTTTACCTTGGCCTGACCTTCATACCTGACCTTGGGTCATTGGAATTCGGTTACTGAATTGTTGTGTTGCGTAAGGAAGTATCTCAGAGATGTATGGTTTCGTCGAACACTCCGATATTCCATCAGATTGAACGAATCCCCGGAAATTGACTTCACTTAATCGATGACCTGGCTTTGACCTACCGTAGGTCAGCGAGCTTACAAGGAACATCTGATTTTCTGACATCATACGATTTGCCATTAAATAGTCTACAGCTACGCAAAATTTGACGTCGCTGCGCCGCGCCGTTCAGAAACCCTTCCGGCAAAACCCTGGAGGTCTTTCCCGGAGTGATCTCCGAACGGCGGTCAATTGCGTTGTCAACTGTCAAAAAAAAAAAACAACAAAAAACGGCAGCGGTCTCGTGTTGGGGGTCAATTTGACCCACACCCGAGCGCATGCTGGAGCAGGCTTTCGACGGCTGATTGTTAGCGGGGTGTATCTTCATACAGTAGCGGCAAACCTATTGCGTCCGCCCCATTTGACAGGACGGCAGGTGTGTGTCTGCTTCAAGGCGAGATGTGGGTATGTTGCGTAGCGCCCTGGTGGCGATCCCAATGCATGTGTTTTGGATGCGGTCGATGCGTTTGCTGCGCTGGTGTGCAACGGAGCCGTAAATGAATGCGTTGTACTCGATAATGGGTCTGATGGTTGCTATGTAGAGCTTATTATTTTTCCGCGGTTGCCTCCCCAGTCCGTGCCGCTGAGAGCACGGAGGATGTCGTTGCGCTCCGCATACCTAGCGGATATTTCTCTGGCGTGAGTGCTAAATGAGTGTTTCGTCCAAGAAATTGAAGGTCTAAGCTGCTTTAAAGCTCTACCGTTGATCTGAAGTTGACGGTTCGGCGAGGACAGCCCGGAGTGACTGTGGCTGATTTGGTTGTGGACAGGACGAAGCCCCACTGTTGACGCCACCATTCCATGTAATCTAGGCTTCCTTGTACAATTTGTTTCAGCTCTGATGGGGTAGTGTCGTGTTGCCCAAATGGCCGCATCGTCCGCAAAAAGTGAGCACTGAAAGTGTTTGATGGTGCAGTCCTTGAACATGTTTATCAGGATGAGGAAGAGAGTTGGTGAGAGTCATCCCCTGGTACAGGCTCCGGTTCTATTGTGCTTGTGACGAGACCGTCGTGCCGCATCTGACGTGAAAGGTGTGGTTTGCCGGGAAATGGGTGGTGAATTTGGCGAGGTGGTCGTCCAACCCTAGTTCGTGACTTTTGAAGAGAAGAGCTAATCTCTGTACGCGATCGAATACTGATGAGACGTCCAGGCATGCTGCAATGGTGGTGTGTTTCCTGTGCGAGCCCTGCTGGATTTCTTTGGCGATGCGCGTGAGGCTGTCTGTTGTGGGTGTGCTGCGTCTAAATCTGCACTGGTGGACGGCGAGCACATTATTGCTTTTAAGAAGGTGCCTGAGTCTGATGTCCAGCGCAGCCAGTAAGCAAAATAGAGCGGTAGCCTTTGGGTGCGAATAGCTTTTGTTAGGCACTAGGGTAGGCATAACTGTGTTCTCTTTCCAGCTGGCTGGCAGAGTTACTGCAAAAAGATCGCTGATGAGGGGAGGGGTTAGGCACGGGTGCGCGGCGGCGGGTAGGCCCGGTTTTGAATGCGGCCTGGGTAAAGGATATTTTGGAGTTAAGTTGGATTTGGGAGGACGTGGATTGCGTGGGTGGTGTGGTCGATGAGAAGGTCAGGTCAGTATGGACCGACACTGACACAAGGATGGGTAGAGGTGGCACGAGCATGGTGGAGTGAGGGCTCGGGTTGGGCGGGAAGCAGTGGGTCGGGTTTTGGGAGACGCGGGTTGGTGGCGTTGGGGATGGGCAGAGGGGGGAAGGGAGGTCGGCCACGGATAGGTGGTATGACGGAGTGAGAGTGGGTCGGTGGCAGACTGGTGTGAGAGCTGGCAAGAGGCGGATGCAGGGGGACACCCCTGCCAGAGCCCGGTAGCATGGATAGGTGGGGTGTGGTAGAGAGGAGGCCGGGGCGGCACGGGTGGTTGTACGGCCCGAGGGTGGGTGTGCGCAGGGGGCCTGGGCTGTCGGGGTGGCCATGCGAGCTGGAGTAAGGCCGGGATGGGTGCCCCCCGGCCTGGGGAGAAAGCCGGGCGGCCATGAAGAGTCTGATGGTGGAGAGGGGCAACAGGTCGGAGGGCAAGCGGGTCGGGTGGGGGAGGGGTGCCATGATTCGGCCACGCGAAGACGGGCTTCGGATGCCAGGATGTGGTGGGCTGCGGCAACCCGAGCCACCTCTCGCTCGGCCACCCAGCGCGGGTACCCGTGGTCGGATTCGGCGTGTCCGCCGCCGCAGCGCGCACAGCGTGGGGTTCGGCCGGTGCGCGCTCGTTCCACGCGCCTGTAGCGAGGGCAGCGTCGGCAGGGGAGGGGGGGGGGGGGGGGGGGCAGTGACAGAAGGACACGGACGGAAAATGAGACACTCCCAGCCTCAATGTGTCACGGTGGTGTTTTGCTGAATGAGTGTCAGCATGCTTTTGCGTGTTCCGGCGGTGCGTGCGATTGTTGCAATGTTGTGTGCTGCGGGGAGCTTTCCGAAGCACTCCCGTGTTTTGTGACGGAGGTCCAGTGCGAAAAGAAAATGGTGGTACGTGTCGTGCTGAGTGCGCGGTATAGCTCGAAATTCGCTGGCCGTCCGGGGAAAGGGATGGCCTTAAGGAGACCCTCGGTGTTTGGGCGGTGGTCGTGATCAGAATGCTCTCGGCCACCAAGTAATCATGTAATATCAAGGCCGCGAGTGCTGGTGAGCTTGATGAGCTCGCCTTCCACCTTGAATCGAGACTCGCGGAGGAGGCTGGGCTCATCGGTGAAGAAGCCTCCTATGTAGGCCTCCTAGGCGCTGCGGGAGGTGTCTGAATGATGTTTACTTCTGTTGTTTCGTCGATGACGTCATGCTGCGCCGTGCGCTGGGTATTCATGACGTGCTATAGATGGGAGGCAGCGGCTAAGGACAGCGCAGAACCAGGTTTAACCCCCTAGGGTTAACGCCCGGTACAAAAGAGCAGAGAAAATAAAGTAGTGAAGATTGATGGAGCGGTTGGTTCGGCTTTTACCGCCAATCAGCCGGCGTGGGTGCCGTCCACAGAGGGGGCACGGACGCACGCCAACAGCTGGGAAAGCGTCGTCACGTATCGGAAAAACGGACGGCATCCCCAGGACGGCACTGCCATCCCCACCGAAAGCTCCGGACCGGCTCTTCGGTGGTGGGGCTCCGTCCCGTGAATGGTCCGGTGCGCGTGGGCCTTCGTAACTTCTGCTCCCTTCGCTCTTTTTCGCCAGCTCGTCCTCCCACAACTTCGCTGGAGCAATGCACTGTGCACGCCTTGCGGAGCATACAATACTCCCGCCCCGCCCCTCCCTCCCCTTTCGGACGCAGAAATTCTAGCCGGCCAGCCCGAAACGCGTAAACTACATCAATCATGCTTACCTCAATCAGCATAACCTTGTTAAACTTCTTGGCTATTTTCACAAGCGCGTTCGCACTTTATAACCCGAGTCACGTCCTCCCATCGTTGGTTTTATTTTACGTTCAGGTGACTGCAGGTATTATCACGCGAGCTATTGCCACATCTCACAAGCCGATCGTGGATGGTAAGCTGAAACAAAGATCTGCGTTTCCCGCACCGGCTTGGTGCCAGTCTCAGACTGGCACCGTTGTGGTTGCAGCCACGCTACACCCATTGCTGTGAAGTTGCCGTTACTTGGGCGTGGTTTTAGCTTCCAGTCATCGCGAGTGAGAAAGCTGCATTGTCCACATGCTCTTACAGCAGAGAAGCTTTCTCTTCAGTTTGTTTACCGGGCGACCCAGATCAGGCTGCGAACCGGATAACACCGGTTTTGATGAAGTCATCCCGTTACATCACAGCGATCCCTCCGCCTTTTTCCCGGCGAGCCCAGTACACGCAGGATCTGACACGCCGGGTACATCAGGGCAGAGTGCCTGCCAGCCCTCACACGGACACGGCGACCAGAAAGGCCACACGCCACCATTAGGGCGATGAATATCGCGCCACAACTACCGATTCCGACCGGCCGATCGCCGTCCTCAGCTCTCTTGCGTTATTGCATCGGTTTTCGTGCGGCATACATAATTGCTAATATTTAGAAGGCAGCATGGGACCCAGTTTCGAAACTTTCTTTCCCTGCCCAGAGAGCTCCCGTTTCATGGATGTTTGCTGCTTGCAGTTGCAAGGCGAATGCCCCGTGCAATCAGAAGAATCGACAAATGTATGAAAATGTATCTCCATATAAAAGAAACGAGTCTCCGAAAGCGCTTCTCAACGAACTACGCGGACGAGCCAGATTCCGATGCAGGGGCGCCTGACGACGAATCCACCTGGTACTCCGTCCACGACACAGCCAGCATTGACAACAGCTTAGCGCCACAGCGGCACCGCCCGTCCTAAAACGTCCACACAAGACCACCTCGGCACGGCCACGCCGGTAAACGTGGGGCCGGTGTCGGCCCCAGCGCGAGCACGTCTGAGTCGCCATGGCTCAGTGACCCACCGTGCCGGGCGGCGCGGGCGTCTCTGTGGCCGGCCCAGCATGCTAGCTGGCCCCTCCCGCGCCCCCGTCGCTGGTCCGCAGTGCCCCCGGCTGCTGGTCCGCGATGCCCCCGGCCGCTGGTCCGCGATGCCCCCGGCCGCTGGTCCGCAGTGCCCCCGGCCGCTGGTCCGCAGTGCTCCCGGCTGCTGGTCCGCGATGCCACCGACCGCTGGTCCGCGATGCCCCCGGCCGCTGGTCACCGGTGCCACCGACCGCTGGTCCCCGGCGCTCCGGCAGCGGCGCGCTACGGCCGCCGGCCCGCCGCGCTCAGCACCACCAGCCCGTCGTCGATAGCCTTCTGGTAGGCGAGCCGCGGCTTCGGCTCCGGCGACTCGGGCTCGTCGAACACCACCAGCTCGAGCAGCGGCGGCTCCCGCTGTCCGTGCTGCGGGCGGGGCCGGCGGACGGTCAGAGCGGCCACAGGACGGCGGGGCCCCGAGCGAGGCTGGGCCGGCCGGCTGCACGGCCCTCTACAGCGCCGGAGCGACTCTGACCGGCCGGCTCCGTTCACTCCAGCAGGGCAGCTACAGTCCTTCGGGTCTGTCGCCTAATCTCGTGATATAACCTAGCAAGACACCGTTGGTCACCGTAGCACCGGGCACGCGACCGGGCATGAACGGGCGGTTCTTTCATTCGGGGCGCCCGCCGAGTGACACATGACCAACGGATGACGTCACCGCCTGGCTCGATTGATTCCGTCACAAGGCTGGACGGAAGCCGACCTGCTGCTGACCTGACCTGACCGAAACGGGCCCGACCTGATCACGATCCAAGATAACCTAACCAGTGTTAAAACACGGGCCACCCCTGACCCGAGCCAAGTGCAATGGCCTCCATCTGGCGAGCAGCGCCGCTGAGCTGGTCCCGATCCCACCTCAACCTAGTGCAGGACCGCGCGGACAGTTTGACCCAACTCCACTACCTTGCCAGGCCAACACCGAGCCCGGCCCACCGAGTGTGGAGCGCACCGCCCGCCCGCCCGGTCGACTTTCCGGCCCCGGCCCGGCCTCAGCCTCGGCCCTGACCCTCTGGCCCCGGCCCGGCCTCAGCCCCGACCCTCCGGCCCCAGACCCAGCCCCAGCCTGGCCTCAGCCCCGACCCTGACCTTCTGGTCCCGGCACGGCCTCAGCCCCGACCCTCCGGCCCCGGCTCCGGCATAGGCCCCGGCCCCAGCCCCGGCCCCGACCCCGGCCCCGTCCCCGTCCCCGTCCCCGGCCCCGGCCCCGGCCCCGGCCCCGGCCCCGGCCCCGTCCCCGTCCCCGGCCCCGTCCCCGTCTCCGTCCCTGTCCCCGTCCCCGTCCCCGTCCCCGTCCCCGTCCCCGTCCCCGTCCCCGTCCCCGGCCCCTGTCTGCCGCGGCGGACGACCCTGCGGCCGCGCACCTTGACGCGTGCCCAGAGCTGCACGTCCTGCTGGAAGACGCACGCCTGCACGGCCTCATGGGCCTCGGCCGTCCAGCCGGAAGCGCTGGCGGGGCTGACGCGGTACAGCTCCACCAGCAGCACCCAGGCCGGCACGTCACGCATCGAAGCCGGCACCTGGCGCAGGCTGGCAGTGCGCCGGCAAGACGCCGGTGTCAGACTGGGGCGGATGGCGGCGGGTACACAGGGGTCCGCACACAACGGAGATATCGTGAACACGAGCGATACCAACCGCGCGGCGCATGGACAAATCGCAGATAGACCGTTCACCGCCGCACCATTCTCGACAGAACGCAACAAGTTACAGCAGTCCTGAAAATACTTCAGCAAGCCTTTCAGCAATTCGTTATCATTTAGGAAAACCAGAGCGCTTGGCCTGGCGGTGCCGGTGTGCCATCTTCCGCTCCGTCAGCAGACCACTCCGTCTAGAGGCGCCGCACCGTACTGACCTGCTGGTCCTGACCTCTTCCATGTTGCCCCAGTCCACGTACTGCACCCTGGCCGCGTCGCCGTCGACGCTGAGGACGACGGCGCGGTACCAGGCCTTGTCGTCCGAGAACTGGCACACACAAGGCGAGCCTGCGGACACGGAGCCGCCACACCGTGTCACAACGCACGGACGGCGACGGGGAGGTGCGGGGACGGAGTACCGGAACACGGCAACTCTTCTGGCCCTGCGGCGACGGCGGGGGTGCCGGAACTAGCCCGTTATGACCGCTTCTCGGCTGGCCTCGATCCGTAGCGATAGTACGGGCAATGTCAACCCTGCCGCCACCTCTAGCCGACACAAGCCTGTTCCAACAGCCCCCGCGCCCTGGATGCTGGCACAGTGGGTGGCGGGCCGGCCGCTCCTGCTCCGAGCAGACGGCAACTGGACAAGCTCGATCAGTGTCAACGACTGAGATGTTCACCGCCCCGCCTCCGCACAGAGGGCCTGCCGCCTGTCGCCACCCAGGTCCCCCTCCCAACTCCGGCTCCGGCTCCGGCCCCGGCCCCGGCCCCGGCCCCGGCCCCGGCCCCGGCCCCGGCCCCGGTCCCGGTCCCGGTCCCGGTCCCGGTCCCGGTCCCGGTCCCGGCCCCGGTCCCGGCTCCGGCTCCGGCCCCGGCCCCGGCTCCGGCTCCGGCCCCGGCTCCGGCTCCACACTCGACAGCACAGCTGTCCAGCCCCAGCTCCGTACCGACAGCGGGGCTCTCGAGCAGCGGCTGGGCGGGCGCCTCTTCGGCCAGCCGCTCGGGCAGAGCATCGATGGCCTCCAGGTGGGCGGCCAGCTGGCGCAGGCGCGGCCCGCAGTCGCCGGCCACCCTCTGCGGCTGAACCAGCAGCAGGCACGGCGACAGGGTACCGATACAGATCACCGGCACCGGCGTCCCGCCGGCCGGCAGCTGCAGGCGCGGGTAGGGCGCGCGCAGCAGCAGCGCGTCCAGCACAGTCTCGGCGCCGCCGGCCGCCGCCGCCAGCTCCTCGTCAGTCATGTAGCGCGCGTCGCCCATCTTGACCAGCAGCTCGTTGACGTCGATGGCGCTCTGGACGAGCTGGAGCGACACCTGGAGGCGGTGACGACGGACGTCAAGCGGCGGAGCCCCTCGCCGGTCGTCCCTACCAGACCTCTTCTCAAGCCGCCGGTAGTAAGCTCCTACTTTCGACCGCCGCTCCACAGTATCGTCAAGCCTAACCGGAATTGCAAAGTCCGAAACGCGCCGTTTTAAGCGTCCCTCACATGCACCTGACCTCGCTGACACATCCTACGGGCACGCAATCGGGTCATATCAAATTAATTAGCATCAGTATACTCTGTCAGACATCACCATGTCCCGAAAAGTAACGACAGGCGCCCAAGCCCGGCTCACAGTACTTCAATAAGCATCTCGCAACGACTGCAGTCACTTCTCTTGCAGGGAGAAACAGCCTTGCCCAATCTATAAGAATAAAGGACGCATGGGTAAACGTGCTACCTGCAAGCCGCAAACCCCTTGTCTGACGTATCCGAAATCGCGCAACGAAGGAGGCCAGAAGAACCCGCGGAAGTGGAAGCCACACACATGACGTGAATGCAAACAAGCTAAATCCACCCATCAGCCGGCGGAGGCGGACGCCCGCCCACGGCCACACACCAGGAAACGCCTCCTGGCAGCGTTGAAGTGGTGCACCTGCACGTGACACTCGCGCTCCACGATCTGGGAGTGGAGGAAGTTGAGCGTCTTCACCGGGAATGTGCCGTCCTCCGTCAGCTGAGAACGGGAGGCGTGCGGTCAGACGCAGACGCCGCCAGCTCATGCAGAGGACGGGCCGCACATACAGGCCGGAGGTCAAGTCACCACGCTATGGAGCGCGTCAACAAAGTAAACATAACACATGAAACTTAAGGTGCGTAAGTCCCAACAACGCCCGCTTAGCCAAGCAGCTCAGATAAAACGTAAGTGAAATGTTTTTTCTTCGCAATCTTTGTAATTCCCAAGGCCGAAGGACAAGACACGAGCTCCAGCAGACGAGACAAGTGTTCGCCGCCGGGCCGCGTCAGCTGCTGGCGGCGTCACCAGCCCGGTGCGGCGGGCGGCCCATCACCCTCACGGTCCGGCCGCCGTCCCCCCCCCCCTCACCGGCAAGATGTTGTGCAGCTCGCAGTGCAGCGCCTGGACCGGCACGTGCTCCATGAAGACGTTCTTGCGCAGCTCCGTCGGCGCCACGCGGTCCGTGTTGCCGTAGTCGACGAACTGGACCGACACTTTCTCGCTGTGCACCTGCGCCGCACGACCGCGCCGCGTGAAGGGGACGACAGCAGCACCGCCGCCGCAGCGGAGCCGACGGCGACCCGCCGAGTAAGCCAGTCAACCATCTTGACTGGCCTGAGCTTGACACCGCATCGGAACAGACGGTCGCAAAACGAACACAGACGTTGACAACTGCGAGACAAACGCCTAATGAGCTATCATCAGGCCGGAAATGCAACACGCAACATACACATCGGCGTTAACGCATTCGCCGCCCCCCCCCCCCCCCTCCCCGCTCTGTGGCGCGCACACCCGGACCGGCGCGGCTGCGACGTCCCCGGACCGACCTGCAGCACCTTGGCGCGGTACCAGCAGTCATCCAGGAAGTACTTGGCTATGCACGGCTGCCCCTCGAACCAGTAGCTGTCACACGGGCGCGGCTGGCTTCCCCCGTACTTCGAACTGAACGCCTGCTGGAGAATGTCCAAGGTTTCCTTGCCTGCGAGCCGACGGGGGGGGGGGGGGGGGAGGCGTCAGGGCACGCAGCGTTGTGGTCAGTCTTAGCACAGAGACTTATGGGGACGCCATACGTGCATTAATTCGCTTAAATCCTACGGAACACGCCGCTGCCAACAGTCGGGGCACGTTTTGACAGCAACACGCCAATCTGGAAAGTCCGAGCCCAGTAGGAGGCCCACTTCTGGAAAGTGCTGGGAAGTGTGCCCTGCACGTGCAAACACTGCCATCCCACATTTGGCCTACGTTTGGGGATACTGCTACGGCGCCCGGTGAGGCTATTGGTACAGCCGGCCCACATGGGGGCGCCGCGTCCGCCCCGCCCCGCCGCCTGCCCTTGGGGAAGGTGTGCAGGTACACGTGGGAACGACGCGCCCGCCCCGCCCGCCGCCTACCCTTGGGGAAGGTGTGCACGTACACGTGGGAACGACGCGCCCGCCCCGCCCGCCGCCTACCCTTGGGGAAGGTGTGCACGTACACGTGGGAACGACGCGCCCGCCCCGCCTGCCGCCTACCCTTGGGGAAGGTGTGCAGGTACACGTGGGAACGACGCGCCCGCCCCGCCCGCCGCCTACCCTTGGGGAAGGTGTGTAGGTACCATGGGGCCGCCCCGCCTGCCGCCCACCCTTGGGATAGGTGTGCAGGTGCACATGGGGGCGCCGCGCCCGCCCGTCTCGCCGCCTACCCTTGGGATAGGTGTGCAGGTACACATGGGGGCGCCGCGCCCGCCCGTCTCGCCGCCTACCCTTGGGATAGGTGTGCAGGTACACATGGGGGCGCCGCGCCCAGCCCGTCTCGCCGCCTACCCTTGGGATAGGTGTGCAGGTACACGGTGCCGGCCATGGTCACGTGCGTGGGCCGGCCGATGAAGCGCGTCTCGGTCGGCACGCGCGCCGGCAGCCAGTCCACCTCCAACGCCCGCTCCTCGACGGCCTCGGCCGCCTGCTCGGCCGCCAGCATGTTCAGCTCGAGGTCGCAAAGCTCCGAGCTGGCGCCCTCCGCCAGCAGCGGCTCTGGCCACTCGCGCCGCCGGCCCGAGATCGTGGCCCAGTCGCCGCCCAGCGGGATCTCCTGGGTACGGACGCAACGTCGGAACACGGTGCCACAGCCGGAGGGAGAAGGGGGAGGGGGGGGGGACGCTGGGACACGTGGCAGACGGCGCTGGACGAGCCACGCTCTCGGCGGGGTTCCAAGCACGGCAGAACGCCGTCCGAGCACAGAGAGCAAGCGAAGAAGCGCGGGCGACGTGCGTCACGTGTCGTCCGTACAACACGTCGCACTCATACGACACCGATTATCATTCACGTCCAGAAGCACACTGACCGTTGCTCCCCCCCCCCCCCCCCCCCCTCTCACCGCGGCCCCGCCCCTCAGCCAGTCAGACCCCGTGCGCCGCCCACCTCCTGTTCCTCGTCGCCGGCCTCGGAGCCGGCGTCGGACGGCGAGCCCAACGGCTCGGCTGCGGCTGTGGCCAGCGACGCCGCGGACTCGGCCACTCCTCCGGCCTCCCCCGGCGGCTGGGTGCCTTGCACAGTTCGCTGCGGCGGCAGCGCGCCGACCAGCCCGCCACCGGACGAGTCCACCGGCTGGGCACCCCTGCAGCAGGGGAGGCAGTATCTTGAGGCGATGGCCGGGGCCGGCCGTTCCGCCGGTCGCGGGTAAGGGCAAACGCCGTGTTGAAGGCGGGCCCAGTTGGCCACGACAATCGCGCTTGACCAATCCTCCATGCAGACATTCAATCTGCATATCACGGCAAGGCTTGCGCTTGCTGACTCTGCCTTGCCGGTGGCCTGGACAAACTGCGTTGCACGCCCCCTCCCTTCCCCCGTCCTGAACGCAGCACAGCCCCGCCCATGGCACCTCCACGTGGTCGTCCCGAGCGCCGACGAGGCGCGGTGACCGCGGCGGCCGGCGACCGTACCTGCTGTTACTGAAGGCCAGCCCCTGCTCCACCAGTTTGCCGGCGAAGCTAGTGCGGATCCGCCGCACCGGCTCCAGGGCGCCCATGTTCCTCTGCTCCTCCGCTTCCAGGTCGCACGGCAGGGATGTGGTCTCGTCGCCCTGGCCGCCCGGGACCTGACCAAGGCACAGCAGGGCGAGATGTGGTCACAGCCGGGACACGGACAGCAGCCGCTCTCAACTAACGACGACACAGGTCACAGCAGGGGGGGGGGGGGGGCGCAGATCACGGTCAAGGTTAGAGGTGCAAGAGGTCAGGGTCAGCTCACGGACTACCTGTCGGGGACCCACCGGCACACGCAGCACACCGTGGACGGGTCACGGTCAAGGTCAGATGTGCGAGAGGTCAGAGTCAGCTCACGGACTATCCTGCTGGGGACCCATCGACGCACACAGTGGGGCATGGACGGGTCACGGTCAAGGTCAGAGGTGTCAGAGGTCAGAATCAGCTCACGGACTCCCTGCTGGGGACCCACCGGCACACGCAGCGCACCGTGGACGGGTCACGGTCAAGGTCAGATGTGCAAGAGGTCAGGGTCAGCTCACGGACTATCCTGCTGGGGACCCACCGGCACACGCAGCGCACCGTGGACGGGTCACGGTCAAGGTCAGATGTGCGAGAGGTCAGGGTCAGCTCACGGACTCCCCTGCTGGGGACCCATGGACGCACACAGTGCGGCGTGGACGGGTCACGGTCAAGATCGCAAGTCAGGACCGATCGACAGTGACGGATGCCAGCCGCCCTGCCCATTCGCGGTGGATTCGGTGGCGGCCCTCGTCCAGCTCAGCGACAGCACAACAGCGCTGCAGGTCCAGTCGAGTCCAACGATATCAGCCAAAGCCATCGCGCAGACCACGCACCACTTTGGGAACGAGGAACAGCTTCTTGGTCTGGTTCAGCATGTTCTTGAGAAAATCAATCGCGAATCCGGTCCACTTGCCACGGTCGCCTGACAACATAAGCCATTGCGGGTGAAACAAGTATGTTCACAAGGCCTCCGAAAGTCACCAGAAGATTCGTGATGTGCACAGTTCATGCGCTTAAAATAACCACGCTTGCCCACCATCAGAACCCGGGGCGACCGAGCCTCCTCCCCGGGCGCCACCGTTTACACTAACTTCGCGGCGTCGTCCTCCGTCAGATCAAAGCAACCACAAGGAAAACTGTCATACGACAACCCACCGCCAAAGAGCCGACCCCTTCTCCCATGACACCACCCCGCCCGCCAGAGAACAACACGCGGCCCCGGCCGTAAGACGCCCCACCACCACACCAGAGACCCGCCGCTCCCACCGACAGGTAGCCAACGCCCCCCCCCCCCCCCCCCCCCCCCCCCCCCCCACCACACCAGAGACCCGCCGCTCCCATCGACGAAGTCGCCACCGGCGCAAAGACCAGCCCGCCCGACCCAGCTGTCCAGATTCGGTGTTAGCCCCCCCCCCCTGTCCCCCCCCCCCTCTGTCAGGCGGTTCCCGGCGTCGGAAGGGTCGGGTGGCGGGTCACCCCACCTGCCGGCCGGATGCCGTGGAGGTGACACGGCATCGAAAAGGCGTGGTGCTTCTCGAACTGCTTGAGCAGCAGCGTGATGTCGCGCTGGCGCACCGTCTCCTGCTTGCCGTAGTCGATCAGGTACACCTGACGACAGGGCCGGGGGGAGGGTCACGTCGGCTGGGCGTGTCGCGAGCGGCCGCCGCCAGGCTCCCGTCCAGGGGCCGCCGCGTTGCCGTGGTTACAGGCGTGATCAGCTGGCGATGGCGCGCCCCACCTCAGGAGGTCGAGCACCGCTGAGGACGGCTCGACGAAAGCTTACGTGGTGGTAAGGCGCAGCTCGTACCGGATATGGCAAGAGACGACGAGACCAAGAATACAGATACAACGCCAGTTCAGTCCCGACACTGTATCAGCCCTGGGCACGCTCTCCAGTCACCGCCTGCCGACAGACACCACGGAGGAAATCCTCACCCGCCACGTCTCGCTCATGCACTCCGCGCGAAAGGTGGTTGGCTGGGGGCTGCAGCCGGCAGCTCCTCTGCGTGGGCCCGGTCTCTGGCCGCGGGGAAGCCCCCTTCCCCCCCCCCCCCCCGCCCTCCGCGCGGGGTCCATCACAGGCGGTGGACGGGCCCTGCACCTGTGACGCCGCCGACCGTCTGGACTGCCTGTGATTGGTGCCACGCGACGGGCGGGTCCCCGCGCGCCCCTGACCGGCGCATCACCTGCACACTGTCCGGGTCTGTCTCGGACACGCTCAGGACGCGGACGCGGTAGAACAGCTTGTCCGACGGCGCCACGGCCACGTCATCGGGCTTCCAGCAGTAGCCGTGGCTGCTGACGCCGCCCACTGCGTACACCTCCTGCATCTCCTGCATCATCCTGCGCGGCGGGATCGCCGCGAGGTGTGAGAGTGAGCCGCTTGTCTCGGGATCGCGGGGTCCGGGTCCGATTCCTGTCGCGCGACGTCTTCAGTACGTCCACTTCCACGATGGGTGACGACGCTAATGACAGTTGCTAGCGTCGATAATCAAAGATACAGTTGCTATAAATACACCACAACAAAAAGGAACGAAGACGGACTAGTCGAAAGGCGAGTTCCAAAACGCACCCAATTGCCCATTGTGTGGGCGCTGAGTGACAGCGGCGCGCTTCACAAACAGGCACCATAAGAGGCGGCGACGACAGGACCAGCCAGCGTCAGCACGCGCCCATCCTGCCGCTGACCGGGCAGCCGCGTCTCATGCCGCGTCTCACATGCGCCGGGTACATCCCCCAGGCGCCCACCCGGCACCGGGGCCGGGCCGGCCGCCGCGACGCCGAGCGCTCACTGGTTCAGCGCCGGGATTTCGTCAACGATATGGACGCAGAAGCGTCCTGGCGACTCGCAGTGGCTGACGAGCACCTCGACCAGGCCGCCGCCGGCCGGCAGGGCCGCCTCGCTGGCCGAGCTCTGGCGGCGCGCGCGACGGCAGTCTCAGGCACCGCACCCACCCACGACACGGCCCCACCCGCGCGGGGTCGGCGCAACGACGGCACAGAACGAAAGGGCGGCGTCGAGACCGCAGTGATAGTGCTGGGAACGGCACAACACTGTTCTGCTTTTTTGTAAGAACATTAATAGACGGAAATCGTGGGAGGTTGTTATTGGGAAGAAAGTGCTTTACACAGTGCATCATGGCGGAAGGCACGTGTCAGCATGCACAACCTACACTTTACATCCTCCAGTTGGTGGACAACGGCGCGATGTTCCGCTCATAGACACGTGTCTCGGCACAGACCCTGGAACGAAAACCCGCCCAAACACAGCCCCCCGACACCAGCCGTGCCGGGCGTCCCTCTCCCCGACCTCCGACACCGGGCGCCGGTCTCCACCCGCCGTACCTGCGGTGCGGAGCGGGGCGGACCAGCCGGCGAGTCCCAGGACGCGGCGGCGGCCGACACGGAGCGCGCGCCCGACGGTACCGAGCCGGCCGAGGAGGCGGCCGCCGAGCGCCGGCCGCGGCCCGGCTCCCAGCCCACCTTGGTGTACTCCACCACACGCGTGCTGTCGGCCGGGGGGACCGCTGTCAGGTCTGGTTGCGCCCGACGACGGCGGCGGCGGCGGCGACACACCGCTGTCGCCAGGCGCGGCGCACTCACAGAATGTGACCCGACTGGTTTGCTGACAGGCTGGCCTACACCTGACCCGAACACCCTGTACCAGACCCCAACACCCTGTTCCTGACTCCAACAGCTTTCAACCAACCCCAACATCCTGCACCACAGAACGCTGCGCCCGACCCCAAAACGCTGCAACCGACCCCAACGCCGGGTACCCACCTTCACCGCCCCTTGCCGCGGTCTCCTGGCTCGGTCCCGGTCAGCCGTGGCCTCACCTGGGCGCCACGCCGCGCACGCAGTCCAGCTGAGCGAGCAGGGCGTTGATGGAGACGTCCGCGTCCGGCCGGCACTCGTACAGGGTGACCGTGTGACCCGTCGCGTCCGCGCCGTCCACGTACATCTGAAACGACGACCCGTGTCCGGTCAGCAGACACGCTCGCGCCGAGACACGGGCGCCGGCGGAGGACGCAGGCGGCGCCGACAGCCGCAGCCGCGGTCCCGGCCGGCGCCAGGCCGCCAGGGGCCGTGTCCGCTGCGGGGCCGGCGCCCCCTGCCGGCACCGCCGCTGACGCGAACCGCGGCACGGGGCGGTGAGGGGCAGCCGGTGCGATATCGACGCATCCGCCTGAGCACGGACGGCCTCCGTGGCGGGGCGGCGCCACGGCCGCTGCGTCGCCAGGGAGGCAAGCCGCCCCGCGCCGCCGGCCACTGGAGGCGCGCCGCCGGCCCGGCGCCGCTGCTCCCACCTTGAGCGGCTTGCCGTCGCTGGCCTCGATCAGACGGCGGCGCGCGGCGTCCTGCCAGCCGTTGCGCGGCTCCATCGGCAGGATGTCGGCCAGCCGACACTTCAGCGCCTGTCGGAGAGCCGGGGCGCGCTCAGGGGCAGCTCCGGGGGAAGCGCGGAGCAGCGGGCGTCCGCGAGGCCGGTGGCTGGCTCCGGTCAGCAGCGGGCGTCCGCAACGAGGACCGAGGGCAGCAATAAACGTAGATGAGGCCGCTTGCCACTAGGCAACCAAACGCAGCATGAGCGGGTACCCAGCACAGTGATCCGAGAGCAGGTTGCGACGAAGAAAGACGAAGAAAGAAGGCTACGGGACACAAAGCGCTAACGCAGTCATGTGAAAAGAGGGATGCTCAGCAGAACATCGAACATTATGCGCCATCTTCCTCTGGGACGCCCTTCTTTGCCTGTTTCCTCTCACTCTCACCTGGCTCGTTCACAAACTCATGACAGTCCCGTTAGCACAACGCGGGCCCACTCCATGTCCTAAACCAGTCACGGTCGGCGCGGCCGGGCGCCGCCACCGCCACTCCCGGCAGCTGCCGCAGGGCACATGGACACAGATGGCGCTGATCATCACGCCGCACCCGCCCAGGTGACGCCACCAGCGCTAACCTGCATCGGGATGACCATGAACTTGTCCTCGATCTTCTTGACAGCCTGCAGCGCTACGCGTTCGCGGTTGCCGTAGTCGATGTAGTAGACGTCTACCAGCGCGTGCGGCAGCAGCAGCTCGATCACGGCGCGGTAGAACTTGCCGTCTACGGAGAACTGCGCCACGCACACCTGGCCTGATCAGAGGAACCGCCGGAGGACGGCGTCAGGCGGCGCCACGCCTGGATGCGGCCCCCTCCCCCTCCCTCCCTCCAGGGAATGCGTTGCGAGTATGCTTTACAGTCACAAAATTTGTACTCTGCTTGTGAAACAGCGCTGGAAGGAAATGAATGCGCGGACCGTACAAGTGACCTGACGAAAATACCACCAACAGATGGCTCTGGGGACACGAAACGCAGAAAACTCTCGAGACACGACGCAACTAATTTCTAGCCGTGGGATTACATGCTGAATTGCCCCCAAATGTGAGGCGTACGGTTCTCCCGTGCTTTAATGCCATAGTGAGGTACATATCTTCGTATAACCGTACGCTAGTGCTACAACACAAGAATATCTAGAAGATGCGTAGCTTGACTGTCCAATGAGTACAATTTATTCAAGTTTCGTCCGCCATTAAAAGGGCGCTCGTCGACTGGTGGCGCATGGGGGAAAAATCTCCCGTGGAGTATGGAAATCCAGACATACTCAGTGCATAATGTTTGGAACGGGAGGAAGTTGCCTAGGCTCCAGAAGTCGGGCGACGCCTCCCCAACAATTTCGCATTGACCAAAGTGGTGCTGTCTTGCCCGGGCAAGAAGTGCGTCCGACAACTCGCCGTCAGGCGACGCCGGTACGCTCAGGTGCACACGGGCGGACCGCGTGGCGAGTGTTTGAGGCGCGGGTAGTGTAATATGTGCGATGAATTCTCCATGAACGCGAATTCTGGCGAGCCATTCTATCACAACAAATTACCGCATGCCTGCTGAGTTGTTGCCGTTGGTTCCACCATTACAATGCTCGTGCGCTTGGGGACGCTGAAACGGCCAAACAACGCGCGCGGAGCGTCGTACGGATGATTTCGAGAACTAGCATGCCTGCCGCTACAGCCCGTGAGGCTGTCGGCGGGGCACCGGCAGCGCCGCCTGACTGACCCTTGCGCGGGTTGAGCAGGGCGTGGCAAGCCGCGTTCTTGGCCGCGTATACACGCTGCATTTCGTCCATCATGTTGGTCAGGTACTGCAAGCGGTCGGCCAGGTCAGCGAGAGCAGCGTGGCGAGGCAGGGGAGCGGCGGCCCGCCGTCAGCAGCGCCGGCGGGCAGTGACCACCAGCAGACACGCACCGTCACTGGGATGTCAGTCACCAGCGCACCAGGCTGCAGGAGTCCCCCTCGTAATGCTGTCTCCACACAGAGCAACAATGAGCAAACATGATGTTGCGTCAGGCGGCCGTGCGGTGCATCCCTGATCAAACACATGGTCCGATGAGACGCCGCGACACACACAGCCACCCCACCATCTCTGCCAAAGCCTTCGCCCGTCTCAGCGCCGGGCCCCGTCGCCGTCGCCGTCGCCGTCCCCTATCCGCGTTCCCATCCCCGTCGCCGTCGCCGTCGCCGTCGCCGTCGCGGTTGCCGTCGCCGTCGCCGTCCCCGGCCCCGGCCCCGGCCTCGGCCCCGGCCCCGTCCCCGGCCCCGGCCCCGTCCCCGTCCCCACCCCCATCCTCGTCGCCGTCGCCGTCGCCGCCCCTGCCCCCCACCCCCGCCGCCCTCTGACCTCAGCGTGCACGCCCAGCTGCTGGACGTAGAAGCCGTCGGGCGAGTCGACGTGGCTGACCAGCACGTCCGTCTGGGAGCCGCGCGCCAGCTGCTCGGCCGCGTAGAACCGGCGTTCGTCGATCGCGCCGCCCTCCACGCGCGTCACCGTCACAGAGCTGGCCGGCGACGGCGCGTCGGCCGACCCTCCGCCGCCGGCGCCGGCGCGCCGACCCCTGCGGCGGCGGCGGTCGGCGTCAGCGAGGGTGGGGGGGGCCTGCCGCAGCAGCTCGACACGTTTACACCAGCGAGGGCTCTTCCACATTATACATGCCGGAGGGCGCGATGGCCTCATTAAAACACGACCAGTTACATGCAAATAGCTTTGACCATACAACCACGGCTGGTGGCGGGTCGAGGAGTACGCCAACTGCAGGGCCCACTGCGCCAAGGCACTCGCGTACGAGGGACACTTGAGTACCGCATTCGCAGTTACACACTCCATTCGTCCAAATCATCAACGCGTCAAGGACACTTAGGCCCCACGCTTGCCTCTACGCTAGAGGCCCCTCCGCCTCCGACTGCCCCGCTCGCGGCCTCACCTGTCCGGTGCGCCGACGAAGTTGGCCTGGCTGATGAAGACCAGGTGGTCGCGCACCGACTGCGGCGAGTCCGTCTTGATGTTCTTGTTCGGCATCTTGAGCAGCTCCACCTCCCGCAGCGCGTCGCGCTGGTTGATGGTGGTCATCACCACAACCTCCCTGCGACGCGCGGCAGGAGATGCAGGCGAGCGCTGGCTGCATGCTGTCGTTCACGCGCACCATACTGGCACACCACTGTTGTCCCACATATGCTATCATATATATATATATAATATATATGTACATATATGATTATGCTAGATGATATTAATCCATGACCAATGCAAATAAAACAGTGAGCACACCATCACGAGAGCAACCCAGTGTTGTTAGAGTGACAGAACACCAGAGTGCTCTCGAAGTGACAGGAAGGCCGAGTGTTGTAGGGAGGCAGGACATGAGTTCAGACATCCTAAACACCAGCCGCTTAAATAAATACTACAACTCTGACAGCAGTGGGCACTCAGCAGATACAGTAGTCTCTCGTCCGATGCCGGCACACCAGCCTGCGTTGCCCCCAGGGCGACACGGTGCGTCCACGTGGAGCGCCCACCCAGACGGAGACAGTGATGCAGTGGGTTGGAAACACATGTGAATGGCGGTCCCACACGACAGCTGGGAGAAGGCTAACATACAAAAGCAAACAAACAACAAATGCAACCAAAAAAAAAAAAACATGCAGAAAACCTGAATAGTTTTAAGCGGAACGCGACCACGTTAACACTTAAAGGAGCACTTGCAGTGAACATATCGCCAGTGAGCCGCCGTGCAGAGTGCCGAGTGTCGGGCGACCTAGCCCAGCCGCCGCCGCCGCCGAGGACCCCGCTGGAGCCGCGGCGGCCGTCGCTGCCGTCGCCGCGCCCCCTCCCCGGCCGCCCGCTCACCCGCGCACGAGGCTGGCGAAGGCGTTCGTGGCCTGCGGACTCCAGAGGGCGGCGCCGTCGGCCGGCACCAGGTCCCAGAGCGTGCAGCCGACGGCCATGTCCGACTCGCGGCCCAGCGCCGACGGCATCGGCCGCAGCCGCTCCTCCAGCACGCGCGCCTGGTTACCTGGCGGGGCGCGCGGCGGACACGGCGGCACGTCAAACGGGGGACGCCGGCACGCGGAGACCGGGCGCATACGGTCGGCACGCCACAGCCGCAGCCACAGCCACAGCCGCAGCCACAGCCACAGCCACAGCCGCAGCCACAGCCACAGCCACAGCCACAGCCGCAGCCACAGCCACAGCCACAGCCACAGCATGGCGGAGAGACCTCCCGGGTATACAGCGCTCGTTATAACGGGCGGTGCTTCGACGGGAACACGGCGCTGGCCGACAAGTAGGTACAGTGAGCGTCATGTAAGACATCCGGCGACCACAGATATGCTAATTAAGACAATTGCAATAGCCAGAGAAGACAATCATTGACTCGGACGACAAAAATCACAGACAGGCCGAGAAACCCACATAAACAACGGTCTCTGAAGCTGAAACTCCAAACGACACCGTCGCGTCCCAAATGAGCGTTGACCTCTAGAACAGTTAACTCCCCAGTCGCAGCGCTTTTCCACCAGCCACAAGGCCCCATCCGGCGCAGCGCAGTGGCGGAGCGGGGAGCCCGGCACGCACCGTAGTCGACGTAGAAGACCTCGTACTCGCAGGGTCCGCGCCCCTCTCTCGGCGGGTACACGTCGACGACGCGCGCGCGGTACCAGAGCTTGTCGCCCGCGTACTGGGCCAGGCAGGGCTCGTCTGCAGACGGGGCGGCGCCGGTCCGGTCACGGGAGATACCCCGCCTGGCTGTCGACTCGTGGCGTTGCGTTCGACGACAGCGCGCCAGCGACCATCCGCGAACACTCCGCCCCTGGGCCACAACGCTTAGAAAAAATGACGATATAGCCAACTAGACACTATACCACACGAAAGTTCTACACACGCCCATCTATACCTGCACACAACAAGGTACTAAGCCACCCAGAATATCAGACTCGAAAGGCACACCACCACTCTGAGCACCGCTTTGACATTTCTGCCAGGAGCGCTTCCCTGCCAAAAATCCTGCCCTGCCAGGAGCCCTGACTTGGCATGAGCCCTGACCTCGCCAGGAGCCCTGAACCGGCCAGAAGCCGCGACCTCCCCACGAGTCGCACCGCACACCCTTCACATCCGCGCCCCTGCCTCGCCCCGCCGTCGGCCGCGCCCCCGCCAGCGCCGCGTCCGTACTGACTTTTTCCGGGCGGCGGCGTGTGCCTGCCGCGCTGGCTGTCGGCACCGCGGCACCACTGGGCCACGCGACGCATCAGCTCGCGCAGCTGGGGCTCCTGGGCGCAGCGCTGCACGTAAAACTGCGACGGGCTGCGGATGTGCGTGACCAGCACCTGCTCCTGGCCAACTGCCGGACACGCCGCCCGGGAGTCAGAGCGGCCGGCGCGGCGCCGGGGCCCGCCACCAGCGCCGCCACAGCTCGGCGCGGAAGCGGTGCTGACGACGCACGCGGGCCACGACGGCGACGGGAGGAGCGCCGCGCGGCGAAACAGACGCGGCAAAATGACGTCCACGGCTCGACGACTTGTAACGGACGGCACGATCAAGTTCACGATGCTTTTGAGAAAACGGGATACGCCTGGGCCAGCCGACTACACAATGGGACTGCGCAGAGAGCAGGCCTCTCCGTAGTGCGCCTGGTCCTGTGAGTTATCGCCCGATCTGCCGGCCGGTTCTGGGGACGAGCAGTGTCACATTACGCGTATTGTGAGGTAATCACGGTGACCGAGCTAATTCCCGACTAGTTTGCTGTGCACATTACAAAATAATAATTCCCATAAGTACCTACACCACAGCACCAGTTCGCCCTCAGCATTCACCGCCCTCCCGGCCGCCACAGTGCGCGCACACTCACACTGTCCCAGCGGCGACAGCGCCGGTGGCTCCGCCCTAGCGGCCGATGGGGACGGCGCGTCGCGCGCCGGGAACACGGCCGCCAGGCGGCGGTCGGGCGGCCGCGGCGAGCTGGTCAGCCGCGGAGGCGCCGGCGCGTGCGACGCCAGGCCGACCACCTCCGCCTGGCCGGGCTGCGCGGAGCGAGCACTCGCCTCGGACGTCACGGACGCCGTGTCGCGCACTGGGTCCTCTGTTGTCGAGACAGGAAACGTCAGGCGCAGAACGAGGACCGTCGGCAGGTGACGTCACTTACGGGCCGATGATGGGACGGTGTCTGACAGGTGACGTCACTCATGAGCCAGTGACGGGGCGGTGTCTGACAGGTGACGTCACGCCGGGGCGCGGAGACAACAGCACAGCGACGAGCGATCAGTTGCTTGCAAACGCTGACACAGAGACCAGTCATGTACAGCTCAGTCGACTCGAAAATGGATGTTCGTAACGTGAAAGATAGATTCATGCGTGGCATCTCCTTGCGTTCGGTGATGAGGGGGACCGACTCACCCTCGGACAGCATCTCCGGCGTGATGTCCTTCACCACGTGATCCAGCGGCAGGTCGGACTCGGCCACCAGTTGCACTGCCGGCTGCATCTCGACCTCCAGCTTGCCATGCTCCACGATAGATGTCAGTAGCTGCTTGTCGGCGAGGAACCTGCCCGGCATCAGCACCAACAGCAACTGTCGGCACCGTCGGCAGGCTGGAGCCACTATCATCCGCTGAGTTATGGAAGGCGGGGGCGTACCAAGGGCTCGACACGGCACACAGTCTGAGCACGACACATCTTGCGCCATTGCATAATCCAGCATTCCATTAGCGGACAACCAGCCAGACGGGCTGTCACCATGAGGACATGCCGCTTACTCTGCAGCGCGCCTGCACGTGATGTTGATCTGAAGCCATAGTGTTCAGTCAATACTGCGTTCTTTTACGGGTCGACGTCACCCACTAATTACTCACGACATGGCCGCCCCCCCCCCCCCCCCCCCCTGCAGTCGAGACAGCCCCACACTCCGGCCGTCCCACCCAAAGGCAGTGGCCAAAGCGGGTCATCTGCCTGGTCCTCGGTACAATACTGAACCACCTATCATCCGCTGTAATCTCTCGGCCAAGCCTCGATGGTGTCATCTAATTGGCCCTGGACTGACAGCGGCCGGCAGGCCTTGGCCTAGCCCCCGCTGTGTGGAGCCATCCGCGCGGGCCGTCGGAGAAGCCCACCCAGCGTCCCTCCGCGGAAATACCGAGCCGCGAGCCACGTCACCCCTCCCTCCACGCCCGCTCCGTCCGAGCCACGGGCCACGTCACCCCTCCCCCCACACCCGCTCCGTCAGGGCCCGTCCAGCACCCTGGCGCGGTACCGTCCCTCCCGCCCCGGTACCTGGAGGCCGGTCAGGTCACGTCAGGTCAGGTCGGGCCGCTCACCGGACTTGGCAGGCCTGTCGCTCCGGGTCGGCCCAGAGCAGGTGGCACGGCCGGTCTGCGGCGGTCGCCAGCCGCGCCAGCAGCGGCTGCAGATCGCGGCGCGCTCCGCCCTCGAGGCCCGCCTCCGCCTCCGCCAGCAGGTCACGCAGGCCGGCGCAGCTCTCCTCCACGGACGCCTCCTGGCCCGGCGCCGCGCGGGAGAGGGGCACAGCGCCGGTCAAGGTCACCGCAGCGGTCAAGATCACGGCGACGATGAGGGGTCATGGTCACGAGTGTAGCGCTGATGCAATCCCTTCTATAGATGCGATCTGTTCGGCTACGAGAGTGGTCAGGGATTCAGACTGCCGCAGTTTTTTTGCAGCCATTTGTTAAGGGTCTCGATACCGGGTCAGGATCACGTGGACAGGGTAACGAACTAAGGTCGGGATCAAAACACGGATCACGGATCACCACGGTTCGAAGAGCGGTCAAGTTCAACGGCCGGTTCCGGGTTCTGAGGATCAGAGCCCGTGTCAAACAGGTTGCAATGGTCAGAGGAGGGGGTCTGCGCTGTAAATGCGATTCGGTCTTGCCCAACCGAGAATGAACAAGAACGAGTATCCTTAAGCTCCCAGCAGAGAACCGACAAACCCTTCACACCTGACATGTCCGAATCAGACTGCAGACGCTTTGCAACGCCTTTCGAATGTTTCCGAAGATGCTATCATTTGAAGCAGGCGAGTAGCACGAGAACCAGAACCGTTATACACCGGGGCGGGCGCAGACGAATTCCAGCAAAACGATCCCACCGGACGAAATCGTACGTAAATTAGAAGAGGGCTTACGGAGCAATTCGACAGGCGAAGAGGGCTTACAGAGCCATTCGACAGGTATCATTCATGTGATGTGAACGTGTTCCTTTCGGCCAAGGTCTGACAAGTATCCTGACGGAGCAACAAGTATGAAGGTAATCCCACACCAGGATGAGCAGTTTTCGTTTTCCTTAAATCGTGGCAATACGTCCACTTAACAGGATTTCGACGAATTGGCGACGAAGAGGATGTTTGCGTTCTTTGCACACCAACTCATTAAATTCGGGAATAGCTTACACGTTTTCTACCGAATGTAATCCAACTAAAACAATCGAATTCCAGAAAATGAGGATAAATTGTAAATGAGAATAACTGGGCGTACACCAAACACTCCACCTGTCACGGCAACAGGGTCGAGACACACACACACGCACGCACGCACGCACGCACGCACGCACGCACGCACGCATACACACACGCACGCACGCACCCACGCACACACGCACGCACACATTCAGGATAGGACGACCACGGCCGCTGTCACCGACGCACCGCTGACACCGCTCCCCCAGTAGGCTTCTCGCCCCGCTCCTGATCCACCAGCGGGCGCACGACGCAGCCTGAGCTGCGCTCAGACCGGCCGCCAAGGCGTCACGGCCCGCTCCTTCCCCGCTTTTTACAGCCACGCCGCGGGCCGACGCCGTCGGCCCGCCGCAAGACCCCGCCGGCAGGGTCGATCCCGCGTGGCGCGGACGGCGCGCCACGCGGCGGTCAGGTACGCCGGGCGGCGGGGCAGGGCGACACATCAGCCGCGTTGTGACGGATGTGGCGACGCACAGATACGTCTCAACGGAGGCCGCCACACTGGGGTTCTTAGGACGCATCGACTGCGGTAGATCATGCAGCAGGCCGCCACATTATCGCGCGGGTAGGGCCGAGCTGAAGACAACGTTCCGGCGCTCTCCAGAACGCTGCTGATCGTGTTTTCTCTGCACCAGCTCAGGGCGCAGCTCGGCACATCCCCCGAAGACGCGGGATCACCATGCTTGCTCGGCAGGCGCCGGCTGCTCGGAGCTGTGCGCCGCAGCGTATAGCTGCTCGGAGCTGTGCACCGCAGCGTTCGGCTGCTCGGAGCTGTGTGCACCGCAGCGTTCGGCTGCTCGGAGCTGTGCACCGCAGCGTACGGCTGCTCGGAGCTGTGCACCGCAGCGTACGGCTGCTCGGAGCCGTGCACCGCAGCGTTCAGCTGCTCGGAGCTGTGCACCGCAGCGTTCAGCTGCTCGGAGCTGTGCACCGCAGCGTTCAGCTGCTCTGAGCTATGCACCGCAGCGTTCAGCTGCTCGGAGCTGTGCACCGCAGCGTACGGCTGCTCGGAGCTGTGCACCGCAGCGTACGGCTGCTCGGAGCCGTGCACCGCAGCGTTCAGCTGCTCGGAGCTGTGCACCGCAGCGTACAGCTGCTCGGAGCTGTGCACCGCAGCATTCAGCTGCCCGGAGCTGTGCACCGCGGCGTTCAGCTGCCCGGAGCTGTGCACTGCAGCGTACAGCTGCCTGGAGCTGTGCACCGCAGCGTACAGCTGCTCGGAGCTGTGCACCGCGGCGTACAGCTGCCACCGTACCGTACAGCTGCTTGGAGCTGTGCACCGCAGCGTGCAGCTGCCCGGAGCTGTGCACCGCAGCGTACAGCTGCTCGGAGCTGTGCACCACAGCGTTCGGCGACAGACGGTATGCGCGATGCCGCAAACAATCTCAGGCAGGCGCAGTCCGCGTCGGCCGCACGCTAACGAGACCAATCGGTATGCAGCCCCGCAGCAGCGGCTGGGCTATTCACGTGGACGTGGTTGTGAATCGACACATTTTCCATCGTTGAGCTTGTTAAAAATCATGCGAATTGGGGTCAAGATATGCGCCCACACGTTGTTACAGCACGCTGGAGGCAATATTTTGCGGTCGCCACACCGCACAAACCCCGCCGCAAATCTCCTCCCACCGTCATTCGCCGGGAACGCCACCGGCCGCACAACACAGGCAGGGGCATGGCACGGCGCGTGACGCAACGGCTCCTGTCGCAGACAGGGGCTCAGCTGGACCGCCTCCGGGTGTCACACACGTGCCGGACGGACCGCGGCCGAATCCAGACCAGCCACGCACTGTGACGTGCATACTGAGCTGACTTCGCCTGTCGGAGCTCATGTCGATCAATAATCTCCACATCGTGTCAACGCACGGGGAACACTAGTAACACGGCCGCTCACGCATACCAACGACGCCACCATTTCGGTGATCATTTCGCCACAGCGTGAATGTTCGGCCGGAGTCGTCCGGCGGATGGCGAGCTGACCCTCGGGCGGGGGACGTGCCATGAGATGCACACCACTGGAGCCCGCTCATCGAGCGGGCCCACGACGCCCTGTTCGGTCGCTGTACTTCAAACAGCCCGGTAACAGACCAGCGTCGGGATGTGACGTCACATCAGCTGGTGCGATACACTGCGCACTGATGAAGTACATCCAGCTCCTCCTGCGGGCATGCCAACTGCCGATGCGCACTGATGAAGAACATCCAGCCCCTCCCGCGGACACGCCAAAGCGTTTCACATCACACTAATGCCTTCACAGATCTAGAGGGACCAACAATTTACAACGGACACCATGCAAACCACAAGAATGTGGTTTCCTTGACCTCTGTGGTGACGACCATCCGGTGGCCAAGAACAACGTGCGGCGTGTTTAGTCACACCCGCAGACAGACACACCAGTCGCACGACAATGGTCGCCTGGCTCCCTACGTTCAGAGAGCGACGATGATTGGCGACTCCGCGGGGCACTTCTACTTTCGGCGGCCCGTAGAGTGGAACAGCAGCGACCGGTCCCGGTGCCCGACTTGGCCAGCCGATGCGGACGTGTCGCAAGCGGCAGCTGGCTGCTGCAGCGCGCCGGAGGGCGGCCGGCCCGTTCGGACGGACGGCCGACTGCGGGGGGCCACCGGTCGGAGCACGGGGTCGCCGTGTCACGCCCGCCCGGCCCGGCAGACGGCGCCGGGTCGGCACGGCACCGCAGCTGTCCGCTCCGGCCAGACGCCAGGCCACGGCCGGCCGGCGGCGGACGATGTATGTGCGACTGTCGCCAGGGGGTCCTCCAGAGAGTGTCGACTGTCGCCGGGGAGGGCACCCCATAGAGTGTCACTGTCGTCGGGGAGAGGGGGCACCTTCAGACAGTGCCGACTGCCGAGGATGCCAGCAGCACGGCAAGAGACGCGCGCGCCTGGAACTGGCAGCGACTTTTCTCACTGTCTTGCGGCACACGTTTCCCTCAACAGTGATACGCTGAGTTTGTGTCGCATGTATTCCCCACTTTAAAACCGCGTGTGTGCAAATTTAGATCGCGATAAAACTGTCATGTCATAATTACAAGGCGCAGAAAACCCAGTGGTTGCTCCCTTGAAAGGAGTAGTCGGGCCTTTAACACTGCTGTTGTAGAAAATACACAAACAATGGCAGCATACTTTTCCAATGAAAATGATATTTTGTCAGAAGTTTTCCCTACACGCTGTACTAATTCGGCGAAGTTTCGACCTTAGCAAGGGTGAAATAGAACGCGAGCTAAGAACCGTCGCCTTCATTACAAAGTGTGTTCGATCATAGGGTTGCAGCCGAAGATAATGCGCAAACGTGGCAATATCTCAGGTGCTCACCACGTCAGGGGTGGACCGGAACACTCCCTTTAATTTTCCGAGAAAAAATTATGTTCGTCATCCAAAAGACGACATTAAACCAGTTTGGAGCACGTCGAATCGCCATAACACAGCCCTACTTCGCATCCTCCCGGGTTTGCAACCATCGATGCCAAGCCCAACTGAGCGACTGGGCAGCAGCCTCCGTACAGAAGCAGAAGCCTGCTTTTTCTCCATTAGCGTCACTCGATTCGAACGTCGATTAGCAGCCACTCTGCCGACGTGCCAGGACCGGCGGCAAACCGAGCATGATCGGCTCGCGCACAGTGATGGCCGCGTGCGCACCAGCGGCGTAGATCCTACAAAGCCAGCTCACTGCGACGCAGCCACGTGACCTCGACGCTGACAGCGTCGGGCGCGTGGCGCGGCTCCAGAGAGACCACAGAGCAGCTCAGACCCCCAAAGCCGAAACTGGCGTGCGCCACGCAGCGATGTCGCCGCTGCCGGCCGGCGCGTGCCCCCGGGTGGAGCTCTGGCTGAAGAGATCAGGATCGAATGGGACGTCAAATGACCGCTGCAATAGGCGCCCGAAATCCACCAGAAACGACGACATCAGATCCGCACAAAAAATATTGTCCAGTTAAACATGTAGGATATGCCCCATGAGTTATTTCACACCTTAACATGAGCGCTGCATGACCTACAACAGTCGATGCGCCCTAAAACCCCAAATCATCATCATAGTCATCACACCTTAGTTTTTCTTAAGATACGTTTCCTCATGGTGACATAACTACTAAAAACCGCGGAATTTTGACCCTACCACGGGATTGGTGCCTAAGGTGGTACCTAGTCGAGTCAAATGGAGCGCCGCCTGGTGTAACCACCTAGTTGCGTGCCACCTGACTGTACCTCCTCGACATGAACTACACCAGCTGTCACACTCACGTAGACGGCCTCACCCGGCAGGGAGCCCGCATGCGCACTGCACTTTACCATGCGCGACACGTTAGCCCAAACGAGAACTTGCCGAGCATGACGCAAATACCAGCAATATTGATGAGCGATACCGCATATACTCGAGGAGCACGCTGCTGGTGCCCCGCGGCTAGACAGCTGTCCACCCGAGGGCGTGATTCGCAGTGGTGCGAGGGTATACCCCCACGTGTCAAACGCCTCCCACCCCCCGGGCAGTGTTACTGGCTGACCACCAAAAGCTTGCAGAATACCACATTATCTGTGTTGTACAATCATACCAACGGGACACTCTCTAGCCGTATCAGCAACATTACCGGTATTCATGTCCACACACCACAGGTCATGCCAACCACTGGTTTGCCCATAATTCCCGCCGACCAGACTAATCTCGCTGCCCAGGATCCGCACGGAGCCAGGGCGACGCCGGCTGTGTACCGAAGGGTGCGCATTACCAGACCACCATCATCCTGATTCACCCGCCCCATTTCACACTCTACCCTCAAGCTCTCGATGCTATCTAGACAGATCTAACCGCGCCTTTCCCGCGCGCTTGCATGTCGAAACGAACAGTTCCACGTTGCGGCTTACTCCTGGGTTTCTCGCATGCATTCAAGTTCAATGACGGGCTGTCAGTCACGACCTATCTTCCATGTGGATCTTGAGCGAACATAGGTCTGTATACGGATCTAATGCCCTGAGGCTTTGGACAGGAGCGAACCCACCACGTAAGCCGCACGCGCTGGAGCTGGTCGTCTCAGCGTTACGCTTCTGCAGTGATGCCGTACGGCGGGAGCGAGCCCCATGATCCCGAGAAGCATCTCTCCGACGAGCGTCGGATCTCAGACTCCCGGATTTCAGACTCTCGGATCTCAGACTCCCTGTCCACACGCACCCGTCGGACGGATCGCCAGTCTGCGACGCTCGCTTGGCTGTGCTAATCCCACGTATGGCCAAAACACAGAGCTGGCTAAATAAGGGACTATCACTTTCATCCAGGCTAGGACACCTGTGCAAGCGTACTTGAAACACTGACATCTGTTCTGAAAATGTCTGACCAGTAAAAAAAGCTACACTGTCGCGCTAAGTGAGGCTTTACAGATCATAAAACACGCAACTCATAAATCAAAGCGGAGCAGTAGAAGACAAAATTCTGGTCATGACCCCCAAACCACACACCAACACACAAAAAAACTGACCATGGGAATGCCATCACCGAACAGCAGGACCGTTTCTGACAACTAACCACGATGGCCCACGACGCAGCTGCGGCCTCTCCGCAGTTAGCTCGCGCCCTTTCCCCCCCCCACCCCCCCCCCCCCCCCCCACACACAAAGCCACACAGCGGCAAGCGAGCCTCGTTTTGCAACCGGACGGCCGACCCAGAGTGCCCTTGACCCGGCACTCGCCCTCCTCCCTGCCCCGGTCGGCGGGACGCCGGCCGACCGGGCCCGGCGCGTCACGTGACCGGACACGGCGCGGCCCGCCAGCCGACGGGAGCGGCCGATTGGAACGCCGCCGCCGCCGCCGCCGCACGCGTGCATCGGAGACGGGGCCGGCCCCGGCCCTGCGACGCAGCCCATGGATTATGCGACACGAGGAATGCGGCACATAAGATACTGCTGGGTCCACATGCGTGGTTTCTGACTGAATGCTTTATCGGCGTATTAATCATGACAGCATTTGCACCAGGACGTAAGCGAATCAGTGATCAGGGCCAGGGACGTTGGGGGCAATGCGTCTCCCGGCGGCAGCGATGTCTCCCTTTACAGCTAGGAACCCAACTTATCGCTTGCACCCCCCCCCCCCCCCCGAAAAGTACGTACGTTTTACAGCTCACCCGCTGGGCGCCTCAGCATTAATCTTAGCAGCGATCCTAATTTGCACTGAATGCAGGCAACGCACAGCCGTTCAATGCACAATCTCCGAGTAAATGCGCA